GCTATAAACCTCAGGGCTGCCCATCAAAGAGCCGCCCCCCTGTCCCCCCCCCCCGATCCCCCTCCACCACCGGCATGAAAAAGCCACGTTAATACCTTGTAGAGCAACAGCTAGAGTCTGCTGTTACGCAGCACTTTTTCATGCACCGCCGAGCTCCGTGTGCACGCACGTGTTTGTGCATCTGTCCTTACTCACCTCTTTTTTTTGGCTGCAATTATTAGCTACGTCCTCGCCGGCCCTCGGCCCTCAAAGCATCAGAAAGAGGAGATTGTTGCCAGCTCCAGAATGACTGTTCTACAAGAGCAGTTCAAATCCAACTTAAGTCATGCCCCTGACATACACCATCTGTCATGGCTGGCACTGAGCCCCAATAAGGACTGTCTAATTAGAAAGGGATGACATGTGGGCTCACTGATCTGAGGGAGGCACCGCGGATCAGTGAGCTTTGGTCAGTGAACGCACCATTTGTCCGTGGCCAGTGTCAAATCACACTCTGCGTATGTGATGTGTTATATATAACATAGAATCTTGTCTTTTCAACACATGTTGAACCTCAGATTCATTCAGTATCAACTTTCTGATCTGAACTCTTCACACCTTCAAACTGTGGCAGCAAATCTGGAACACTAGACACCAGCTGACTGTTCATCACTGCAGCTTCACCATGTGTCACCGGACAAGTAAAACAGGGTCAAGAGAAATGTGTGTCAGTTTGTGCGCCTGTTGTTTTGGTCTGTACTGACAGTCTCTGGTCTGTACTGACATTCCCTTCATTTACTAGGTTATTTAAAACGTCTTCAGAGTCAGACGTCCACTGCAGTCGCAGCTGTCTGCACGTCATGGCTGCACAGTTCAGAGCAGTTGCCTATTTGTAATTAGTTGAACCTCAGAGGAGCAGCATTTGCCAAATGTGGGTGAAAGTGTAGAAAAGTGACACCAGTATTAGGTCTACATTATAGTGTTCCACACTTGTTACACATGCATAATATTTAGTCTCTTTGTGCCAAGAGAAATGTCATTAATTACAGTTGACCTCACAACTCTGAATTGGAAAAACAGTCCACACTGACAGCCAGCACTGGGAAAAACAGAGAACGGGCCTCTGCTCTCTGACGACTGGGTGACTGCTGCGTACACAAGGAATACTTAGAATAGCTACGTTTGTGTCAGACTCTCCACAGAGTCCGTGTGGTTTCCCCAGTTATTAATTTTTTCATTTACTTGAAAAATCATCTGCAGCAACAGCAGCATCTGCAATTCTTCTTCTGTTTTCTTTCACAGTGTTCGGCCCAGTGCGGCCTCGGCCAGCAGATGAGGACAGTGCAGTGTCTGTCGTACACTGGACAGCCCTCTCACGAGTGTCCAGAGTCCCTCAGACCCAGCACCATGCAGCAGTGTGAGAGCAAGTGTGATGCCACGCCCATTGCTAATGGAGACGGTAAGATGAGGACATGTGTTAGGAACACCTGAACACCGCTGCATGAACACGCCTGAGTCTGCCATCACGTCCTAACAGTCCTGGCTGGTGTCATCTCTGTAATGAGCTGTCGGCTGGCATTTGTCATCACGGTCAGTCAGAAACCGCGTGGTCACCAAAGTGACGCGGGTCTCCGTTTAACTCGGCAGCTCCTCCAAGTGCAAAGGCAGATGGTTTTTGTGAGCTGTGCAGTTTTTGCCGTGCGTTGAGTGAAAAACCTACAAACTGTCTCCATCTTCATCTTCATCTTCACTCTTCTACTATGACCTAAACACACTTGGATGACACACTCCTCTACACGTTGCCAGCTACATTAATCTTTCCAGCGAGGCTGGCTCCTGGTCAAAGTGAAACAGTTCAGCCCTCCATATACACTTACACATGATGGATGGCTATTCAGATGCACAGAGAAGGGCCTTTCGATTAGACTGAATGGAAAACGTGAGCAGTGTTTACAGGCTGGCTAATGCGATTAGCTGTAGGCTAATTGTTACTTTACGGACTGCAGTGAGGCAATGTCTCGTTTCATTTGGACCCGCGGAGGCAGGAGCTGAGGCCTAATAAGGGAAGACACTCTGATGGTGATAAGATATTCGGAGCACTTCCTGTCCAACGTCCAGCAGGAGGTTTGTGTGTGTGTGTCTATACTGGCAGACAGCCCTGTTTGTGAACAGGGCCAGATTCTGTCACTGCTACACCTTTGGCATCCAAGTGTAGTTTTATTATAAAGGCCCAAGAGAGGTAAGCCATCAGGTTCATGCTCTGCCTGTTTGAAGTCACAGTCTCAGACATAAGTCTTAGACCCTCACATTTAAAAAAAAAATTAAATATTCAAGAAAAAATATTTAGTATAGCTTTATTTCCTTATTCCTATTAAAGACATGCTTTGTAGTCAAAGAAGAAAAGAATGTTGATTAATCTGGATTAATTTCTGCTGTTTATTCTCTCTTCCTGTCGACAGAATGTAAAGATGTAAACAAAGTGGCCTACTGCCCGCTGGTGCTCAAGTTCAAGTTCTGCAGCCGAGGGTACTTCAGACAGATGTGCTGCAAGACCTGCCAGGGACACTGACGCTGACCAAGACAACAGCAGGACACTGCAGTGGCGTTTATACGGCCACGACACGACTACGGACCACGGAGCTGTAGCGCCGACTCGGCCTTGACTTTAGACAAACACAGAGTTGTGGAGCGGAGAACTCTCCAGAAACTGGTCCCAGACTGGAGAACTTTGAAAACTCTGGCTCTTGCATCTTTGTGTGAACAGAGCAGGGTGAGGCGATACGGTCAGCTCTCTGTAACCTATCAACACAGTAACCCTGTCCAACGCCACAAAATAACAACAATGGTGGAGGCCATGCTACTTCTGAACATGCTGGAGAAGCTAATCTGGCGCTAATCTGGTGAGCTCCAGTTAGCCGTCTACGTCTTTTCATGCTTCTCTTTTCAGTCTGCAGTTTCGTACCCGTGCTCTGTTGTTTTTCTTCCACGTTTCTGAACTTCTGCTACAAATTCCTCCGGTGTTACTATGTTAGAGTATGGGTGACACAGCGCTACATACAGGCCTGGTCTGTACTGACAGTCTCTGGTCTGTACTGACAGTCTCTGGTCTGTACTGACAGTCTCTGGTCTGTACTGACAGTCTCTGGTCTGTACTGACAGTCTCTGGTCTGTACTGACATTCCCTTCATTTACTGGGTTATTTAAAATGTCTTCAGAGTCAGACGTCCACTGCAGTCGCAGCTGTCTGCACGTCATGGCTGCACAGTTCAGAGCAGTTGCCTATTTGTAATTAGTTGAACCTCAGAGGAGCAGCATTTGCCAAATGTGGGTGAAAGTGTAGAAAAGTGACACCAGTATTAGGTCTACATTATAGTGTTCCACACTTGTTACACATGCATAATATTTAGTCTCTTTGTGCCAAGAGAAATGTCATTAATTACAGTTGACCTCACAACTCTGAATTGGAAAAACAGTCCACACTGACAGCCAGCACTGGGAAAAACAGAGAACGGGCCTCTGCTCTCTGACGACTGGGTGACTGCTGCGTACACAAGGAATACTTAGAATAGCTACGTTTGTGTCAGACTCTCCACAGAGTCCGTGTGGTTTCCCCAGTTATTACTTTTTTCATTTACTTGAAAAATCATCTGCAGCAACAGCAGCATCTGCAATTCTTCTTCTGTTTTCTTTCACAGTGTTCGGCCCAGTGCGGCCTCGGCCAGCAGATGAGGACAGTGCAGTGTCTGTCGTACACTGGACAGCCCTCTCACGAGTGTCCAGAGTCCCTCAGACCCAGCACCATGCAGCAGTGTGAGAGCAAGTGTGATGCCACGCCCATTGCTAATGGAGACGGTAAGATGAGGACATGTGTTAGGAACACCTGAACACCGCTGCATGAACACGCCTGAGTCTGCCATCACGTCCTAACAGTCCTGGCTGGTGTCATCTCTGTAATGAGCTGTTGGCTGGCATTTGTCATCACGGTCAGTCAGAAACCGCGTGGTCACCAAAGTGACGCGGGTCTCCGTTTAACTCGGCAGCTCCTCCAAGTGCAAAGGCAGATGGTTTTTGTGAGCTGTGCAGTTTTTGCCGTGCGTTGAGTGAAAAACCTACAAACTGTCTCCATCTTCATCTTCATCTTCACTCTTCTACTATGACCTAAACACACTTGGATGACACACTCCTCTACACGTTGCCAGCTACATTAATCTTTCCAGCGAGGCTGGCTCCTGGTCAAAGTGAAACAGTTCAGCCCTCCATATACACTTACACATGATGGATGGCTATTCAGATGCACAGAGAAGGGCCTTTCGATTAGACTGAATGGAAAACGTGAGCAGTGTTTACAGGCTGGCTAATGCGATTAGCTGTAGGCTAATTGTTACTTTACGGACTGCAGTGAGGCAATGTCTCGTTTCATTTGGACCCGCGGAGGCAGGAGCTGAGGCCTAATAAGGGAAGACACTCTGATGGTGATAAGATATTCGGAGCACTTCCTGTCCAACGTCCAGCAGGAGGTTTGTGTGTGTGTGTCTATACTGGCAGACAGCCCTGTTTGTGAACAGGGCCAGATTCTGTCACTGCTACACCTTTGGCATCCAAGTGTAGTTTTATTATAAAGGCCCAAGAGAGGTAAGCCATCAGGTTCATGCTCTGCCTGTTTGAAGTCACAGTCTCAGACATAAGTCTTAGACCCTCACATTTAAAAAAAAAATTAAATATTCAAGAAAAAATATTTAGTATAGCTTTATTTCCTTATTCCTATTAAAGACATGCTTTGTAGTCAAAGAAGAAAAGAATGTTGATTAATCTGGATTAATTTCTGCTGTTTATTCTATCTTCCTGTCGACAGAATGTAAAGATGTAAACAAAGTGGCCTACTGCCCGCTGGTACTCAAGTTCAAGTTCTGCAGCCGAGGGTACTTCAGACAGATGTGCTGCAAGACCTGCCAGGGACACTGACGCTGACCAAGACAACAGCAGGACACTGCAGTGGCGTTTATACGGCCACGACACGACTACGGACCACGGAGCTGTAGCGCCGACTCGGCCTTGACTTTAGACAAACACAGAGTTGTGGAGCGGAGAACTCTCCAGAAACTGGTCCCAGACTGGAGAACTTTGAAAACTCTGGCTCTTGCATCTTCGTGTGAACAGAGCAGGGTGAGACGATACGGTCAGCTCTCTGTAACCTATCAACACAGTAACCCTGTCCAACGCCACAAAATAACAACAATGGTGGAGGCCATGCTACTTCTGAACATGCTGGAGAAGCTAATCTGGCGCTAATCTGGTGAGCTCCAGTTAGCCGTCTACGTCTTTTCATGCTTCTCTTTTCAGTCTGCAGTTTCGTACCCGTGCTCTGTTGTTTTTCTTCCACGTTTCTGAACTTCTGCTACAAATTCCTCCGGTGTTACTATGTTAGAGTATGGGTGACACAGCGCTACATACAGGCCTGTTATAGGTACTACAGGTACCAGAGTCGAATTCAGCGGCAATTTCCTTACATCGGATCTGTTTAAAGGCTCCATATCGGGAGGGTCCGTTGTTGTGTCGTATCGCAGCCGTGTAAACAACAAAGACAGAGGGGAAGCTGACAGCAGCACTGACAAGAGAGAAGGGAAAAACAGAGCAGACTGCAAAGCCAAAAGCTGGTGAAGAAACATTAGGATGTTGCTGTTTTTCACCCTCGATCCTTGTGCCCTCGGTGGTGGTGGAACCCAAACCACTGCTCAGCCGCCAACGCTGACACAAACTCTTATTTTATTTCACTTCTGTGAAGTTGAACTTGGAGGATTATTAGTTGATGTTATTTTTATTATAATAATAATTATTGTTATCATTGTTAGTCGTCATCCGTGTTTGTTGTTTCTATGAATCCAAAGTGCTGGACACATCACTCACACAGGATGGACCCTGGAGATGGAGAGACAGGGGCGAGAGGCGTCGGCTCCCCAGGAAAATAATAATGTCACACACCTGTCACTGGGACTGAGCTGGTGCTTTTGACAGACAGAGTTCTGGCTTTGGTGCAATCACTTTCCATTCCCGTTCAGACAGGACTAAGAAACTCCATCATTGTACTGTATATTTATTGTACAACTCCAAACCGAGCTGAGACGTCACTCACTAGCCTACTGCCACAGAAGAGAATGTAATGTGATGCAATATCAATGTCTTCATGTGGGAATATCACATACTGTAAAGTTAACTGGGCCCACATAAATAATAAAGATTTATATATATGTATATATAAATATGTGTGTGTATATATACATATATTCACATATGTATATATATATATACATAAATATATATTTATAACGTTTATCCATGTGAAAATTTTGTTATAGGCATATATTTAATGTATATTTTCTAACAGTTAGACAGTGCCTGGACCAAGGGGGACAGTTTTCCAACCGGCTCTTTGTTAACATCTCGTTGGGGAGCTTTCAGTTTTTGAAGGACTCGTTTTGAAGGAGCACGTTCTATGAAGTGCTGTGGGTATTTACTGGTTAAGTGTCAACACTCAATGTGGACTTTGGAACCGTTGGACAAGAATAGTCACACCAATTTATTATCTTTAAAAGTGTAGATGGCAGCAGAGCCGGTGCAAACACCACAAGGTCCCACTCAGATTTGCATTTGAAGGCAAAGGTTTGCAGAATAGAAAGCTGCATCATTGTATGTTACTGTAACTGTCAGCTAAATGCTGGGTGGGGGGGTGCTGTCTGATTACATGACATACAGGAACAGTTTACTGATTGTTCCTTCATAAAATAAGTTGAAATATCAGTAGTTGTTGTTTGATTGTATCATTCAGGGACAAAACATTTCTCGGAGGCAGAGATCTGTACTGCAGGCCGGCCAGTCAGGCCCATGTGCACTGTAGCCCAGTGAAACAACACTAGCATAGTGCTGCTACAGTATTCGCCTGGACTGTTTCAAATGTATTCATTCCTTCTAAAAATATAAATATATGGTTCTCCCGGCTTTTGTTGACAACGTTCTTGAATGTCTTACTTTTTAGCTCTTAAAAAAGAGTGTTTTTGAGGTTAGGTCAGACCTGGGCCTGTGACCTGTTTGGCTTTTTAATCCGGCCCGCCAAACTTGTCTAAATTATGTTATTGATTTCTGTAATTATACTTCTGCTTTTCCCTGCATTTCCCCAATTGATGGCATATTTATGCATGACTTTTACTTGTCATTTGTCTTAGTTCGTACGAACCCCTCTGTCAAATCTGAGGACCCACTGTGGGTCAGAAAGTTTGGGTTAGGTTATTCATCAGTGGTTCTTCGCCCTAGGCTTTAGACTCAGAGGTTTAAAAGAAATCTTGACTGAAGTCCTGCTCAGATGTTTGGCTTGGCACAGTTCAGTCCTACATGATTGACCGTGACCCCCCCCCCTCTCTCAATTAAGATTTAATCATAAAATCTTTCTTTGTCTTTACTGTGTGTTTGCCCGTTGCATTATGGTTCAAGGAAATACCACACTGTTCTGAAAAATAGTTCAAAACTCCTTGAGGAGAATTATTACCACAGACTAATTTAAAAGTAGTATTGGTCCCCACCATGTTCCTTTAAATAAAAAAATAAAAAAATAAAAAAACGCTACAGAGGTGTTAGTAGCCCCTGTAATGGTTTTCTGCTTTTCTATACAGATGATATGATAACAAAAAAGACTAATCTACAACTTCAACATGTGCTTTTACTAAACAAAGCTTGTTCCAAAAAAGTGGCAGTTGACGGAACTTACATCAAAATTGCAATAGTATAGAACAACCATGAATCAAACAGAGCGTACGTATTAAAGGCTTATACTCCAGCTACACATGAACGTGGAATTACTATCGTCTCATTAGCAAATCAGTTCAAATTCACCTCCCCTCCTCGTCTGTTTTGGTGTGGTGCTCCCCACTTCACTCTTTTTTACCAAGTGTCCAGTGCTGTATTTACCTCTAATGCCCCTCCTGCCCTGCCCCGGGGGTCAAAGGTTCCCCTACGGTGCTATCCAGTGGGTGCTTCCATTCAACGCCCCTCATTGAGTTCAAGTGAG